TCCGGCATGACGGAGCAGGAACGCCACTCGTCACACGCACGTTTTCAAAACGATTTTAACTTTGTATTAAATCGATCAGTCGATCGACCGGGCTTCATGACCGCTGTTTTTTGTTTTGGGTCGCCGAGGTACACTCCTCAGACGGTGCCTCCAGCGTTTCTGATTTTTGCCAGCGTTTCGTTTGTAACAGATTCCATCAAAACACTTGCCCGACGTCATTCTCAGCCGTCCTCGGCGTCTTAGGTCAGTCCGTTTTGGCAAGCAACAACTGTTCACCCTCCTTTTTGGAGGCATTCACAAGATGTGCCCAAACCCTCGCAGCTGTGATTTGTGTATGTTGACGTAGCGGCCGTATATCACGGTTTCCCGGATATAAAATTCAAAATAAATTAATTAAGCATCAATTTAAACAACCACTGGCAACCGTTTTTACAGTAGGAAGCTACAGATACAAGCGATACACCAAGACGATTCCGAAGTGGGATCCGTGAAGAATTCATTTTATGGGCATTTTTGTGAGACGTGATTTTTAATCTGCATCTTTACTGTGGAAGTTTCCCTTTTTCTTCACATCTTGTTGCTGAAGTGAATTGCTCACTCGTGCACGCAATGTCATCGCGTAACCGATACAACCTCTTTTTATAAACCAGGCCAGATTTATGCTCCTCCCCTTTAAACTCATCTTTGAGGTCTAACACTCGGTTAACGGTTGCAGCTGATGTCTTTGCTTGGTCAGAAGTAACTTTATGTTATTGAACTCTGACCATCGTAAAGTTCATGTAACTACAGCTAAGTGGGTAGCTTGCTATGCTACAAATTTCGTTCTGTCTTATAGCCTGATTTGTCGGCAGGCCAAGTGTAACGTGTGAAAACTAACAGTGCGTTCACCGAGCTCTAAAAACATTTCTGCCACATTGTCTGAACCAAAACCAATCATCCGTCCCGTTGTCTCAGTCCGTTACTCCGTTCGGTTAATCGGGTAGCAGCTATCGACAATTTTCTTTTTTTGACTCCTTTGCCCCATTCGAA